CACACTCAGCCTTGTCTGCCCTTCACGTGTAAGGTCACTTCCCACTAGGAACTTCTTGACACTCTGCAGTTGGAGGCTGTGTGCAAGCCGTTCTGTCCCTTTGTTATAAGGACAGACCCTAAAACTCCTCCATGGAGTCCAGGAAGCAGAAAGATTTTATTGCTTTGTTTATGGCTTATCCTTGTGAAATAATTAGAGGTAAACCAGTTTTCCAGCTCATGAAAATGAAATCTTTGTAAGTCAGGTTTATTTTTAATTTGTTGTTATTGTTGTTTTTCTTTGGGGATTGCCCAGCAATGCTCAGCACTTACTTCTAACTGCACTCTGGGATCACTCTTGGTGGGCTTGGGGACCATGTGGGGCACTGAAGATGGAACTCAGGTCCCCTGGTTTGACTGAATGCAAGACAAGCATCCTCCCCGCTGTACTATCACTCTGGCCCCTTGCATTTTTAAAAAATATTCATTTTATCTTATTTATTATTTGGAGGGGTCATCCAGGCAGGTCACAGAGGACCTGGAAGCTGCTCCTGGCAATTTTCTATTAGCCAGACCACGTGGTTCAGGGGTCCAGCCCTAAGGTGCCGCTCAGGCCCTATAGTGCTCCTGCAATGCTGGGGAAGGAGTATGGCGGGGGACGTGATTGCAGGGGTTCAACTGGAGTCGGCAGAAGTACTGTCCCCTAAACCCTGTACTAGCTCCCCTGGCCCTATTTCATTTCTTTTTTTTTTCTTTTTGGGTCATACCCAGCAATGCTCAGAGGTTATTTCTGGATCCCAGGCTTCCCATATGGTCCCCCAAGCACCACCAGGAGTGATTCCTGAGTTCAGAGCCAGGAGGAACCCCTGAGCATCGCCAGTTGTGACCCAAAAATCCAAAGCCAAAAAGTAATAAAAAAGAAAAATGCATTTTCCTCACATCATATCAAGGACACGTACGATCCACCTGACTGCAGAGGGCTCAATTTTCACCTTGATCACCTAGTGGCAGTGGACTTGGAGCTTCTCAGCTCTGACCTTATCCATTCAGTTACTCATCCCCTGTTTCTACACGACACTAGGAATCACCACCTAACTTACCAGGGATTACGGTTATACTCCACTTTCCTGAGAACATACCACCTACATAAATTATTTGGTATCCTTTGTGTTGTAGATTTATGTTATACTCAACTATTTTGTTAAAAAAATTTAAAAAATATTTATTGTGGCACCAGAGCTAATTATGCTTTTATGCAGACACAGTTCCAACAGCACACCCATCCCCAGAGTACCCACTTCCCTCGCCACTTCTTTCTGATTCAGTCATCTTGCAATATCAGTGTGGAATTGGGCATATTTATTTGATGCTTTGAGCTACATGACAATTCTGTGACACTTTATCTTTTGACTGAAAGGCCCCAGCATGACCGTGGCAAACTCTGGCATCTGGCTCCTGCATTTATGTGACATGTCCATGATGGCTTTTACTTGAGCATGTCAGACTCACCTAGTGTATGCACTTCCCCACCTCAGAACCAGCCTCTTCTCCAAGGAGCCTTTTTATTTTTTTATATTTTTTGAGACTGTAGTAATAACCACAGTCTGCTTCTTGGTAGGTACTAAAACTTTTTTTTTGCTTTTTTTGGGTCACACCAGGGATGCTCAGGGGTTACTCCTGGCTCTGCACTCAGGAATTACTCCTAGCAGTGCCAGGGATTAGAACTCAGGTCAGCCTCATGTAAGGCAAATGCCCTACCCACTATACTATTGCTCAGGCCCAGGTGTTAACACTTTTTATTTATTTATTTATTTTATTTATTTTTTTTGCTTTTTGGGTCACACCCGGCAATGCACAGGGGTCACTCCTGGCTCTGTGCTCAGGAATTACCCCTGGCGGTGCTTAGGGGACCATATGGGATGCTGGGAATCGAACCCAGGTCGGCCGTGTGCAAGGCAAACGCCCTACCCGCTGTGTTATCGCTCCAGCCCCAACACTTTTTAATAAAACTTTGGAGTCAACTTATTTATTTTGGTTTTGGGAGTGTATCTAACAGTGCTCAGGACTTACTCCTGGTTCTGTGCTCAGGGATCACTTTTGGTGGTGCTCAGGAAACCCTGAGTGGTGTCAGGGGTTGAACTTGGGCTGGTTGTATACAAGGCTAGCATCTAACCTACTATAATATCTCTTCAACCAAGACTAAATCTGTATAAACCACCATGCATGAGCTCTGAGGACCATGTTTTGTGCTGGGGATCGATCTGGGATTGGCCACATGCAAGGCAAACACCTTTTTTTATTTAAAAAAATTTTTTTAAATAGCACAGCGGTAGGGCGTTTGCCTTGCATGCAGTCAACATGGCCGACCCGAGTTCGATTCCTCCGCCCCTCTCGGAGAGCCCGGCAAGCTACCGAGAGTATCTCGCCTGCACAGCAGAGCCTGGCAAGCTCCCCGTGACGTATTCGATATGCCAGACACAGTAACAACAAAGTCTCCAATGGAGACGTTACTGGGCCCGCTCGAGCAAATCGATGAACAACGGGAGGACAGGACAGGACAGGAATCACCGTGAGATAGTTATAAGCTTTCATGTATGGGTTATAATCACACAATGATCAAACACCCATTCCTCCACCAGTGCACATTCCCCACCACCAATATCCCCGGTATAACCCCCCTTTCCCACCCTCCCCTTGCCTCCATGGCAGACATGATTCCCCATAATCTCTTTCAACTTTTGGGCATTATGGTTTGCAATATAGACCCTGAGAGGTTATCATTTTTGGCCCTTTATTTACTTTCTGCACATATCTCCCATCCCGACCGATTCCTCCAGCCATCTTTTTCTTAGTGATCCCTTCTCTATTCCAGCTGCCTTCTCCCCTCTGCTCATGAGGTAGGCTTCCAGCTATGGAGCAATCTATCTGTCCTGTGTATCTACTATCCTTAGGTGTCAGCCTCATGTTATGTTGTTTTATACTCCACAAGTGAGTGCAGTCCTTCTATGTCTGTCCCTCTCTTTCTGACTCATTTCACTTAGCATGATACTCTCCATGTCTAGCCATTTATAAGCAAAGTTCATGACTTCGTCTCTCTTGACAGCTGCATAGTATTCCATTGTGTAGATGTACCAAAGTTTCTTTAACCAGTCATCTTTTCTAGGGCACTTGGGTTGTTTCCAGATTTTGGCTATTGTGAACAGTGCTGCAATGAACATATAGGTACAGATGTCATTTCTACTGTGCTTTTTTGCATCCTTGGGATACATTCCCAGAAGTGGTATTGCGGGGACATATGGAAGCTTAATTTCTAGTCTTTGAAGGACTGTTCATATTGTTTTCCAGAAAGGCTGGACTAGTGGGCATTCCCACCAAAGTGAAAGAGTGTCCCTTTTTTTCCACATCCCCGCCAGCACTGGTTGCTTTTGTTCTTTTCAATGTGTGACAAAGCAAACACCTTAGCCTCCATACTGTCTCTCCTGACCCATTTTATATAATATTTATACAACTTATAAATATTATACGTATAGTATTTTTTTTTGCTTTTTGGGTCACACCTGGCAATGCACAGGGTTTATTCCTGGCTACACTTGATCTTAGCCAAAAGGCCGAGAAGCGATGGCTGGAGCGATAGCACAGCGGGTAGGGCATTCGCCTTACAAGCGGCCAACATGGCCGACCCAAGTTCGATTCCTCCGCCCCTCTCGGAGAGCCCGGCAAGCTACCGAGAGTATTCGATATGCCAGACACAGTAACAACAAAGTCTCCAATGGAGACGTTACTGGGCCCGCTCGAGCAAATCGACGATCAATGGGAGGGCCTTTACCTTTACCTTTACCTATTCCTGGCTATGCACTCAGGAATTACTCCTGGCAGTGCTCAGGGAACCATATGGGATGCTGGGAATTGAACCCGGGTCGGCCGCATGCAAGTCAAATGCCCTACCTGCTGTTCTATCATTCCCTCCCACATATGGTATATTTATATGTAAATGTGTGTTTGTTAAATTGATGTGGTTAAGATTGGAAGCTGTTTTCCTCCACCTGGCTCTAAACCTCTCCTTGGCTCCCAGAATCAAACATGGCCTTAAGTTGCTGTGTAGAGTTCCTTTCCAAGCACACTTAGGGCATATCTAAGTATAAATTCTTTTGGAGGCATACTTAGGGCATATCTACAAGAATAAAAGTGAGTGAACTACTGGTTCACGTTTGAGGCCTAGTTCCCGCCCTCTGCCCCATCCTTGTGGACAGTCTGTCTCTATGGCTGCCACTTGTCTGATCTCTTCCTGGCATGGTGGCAGCTAGTGTTCCAGGGTGTCTCTCCTCTCCTGAGAGAGTTCTCCGCTAGTCTTCCCTGTCTGCTTTTTCTCCGGTCTGCTCTGTCTCCTCCAACATGCAGCTTTGTCCTCTCATCAAAGCCAGAGACCTGATAGTGTAAACTATCTCACAGGAGATTGTAACCTGGGAAGAGTTAGGCCAATAAAAATCCAACTGTTCTATTCACAATGCTAACGAAAAATGTAACTGGAATATGACAGGTTGTATTATAGTAATACTTTACTCTTTAGCAGACATTTCTTCATGTAAAGACTTTACCAGTTGCTTCTAGTCTTTATTGATTTATTTTTTGAATTGTATTTCCATAAGATTGAGACAGCCAGATTCAAGACCTTCATAAATCTGGATATCAGGATTGGTAATTTTATTGGTTTTTGTTTTTATTTGTCTTTTAAATACTGTTTTTTTCGAGTTATTGGAACAATATCCCAAATAAAGAAAAAACAAAAAGCTAATTACTGAAGTGTCTGCACATGAAACTAATAATTTGTTTAGCAAGTGACTTAAAATAGAAGCCTAATTGTATAATTACAAAGGGAAAACCTTTCGCTATAATCACCATGCATTTCATTGTGTTGCTATGTGGGCAGTTCTGTTGATAACATTCTGGGTACATAGTATGTTGGCTGTTTACTCAGGATTTCTTGTTCCCTTAATAGTAAATGTATCTACTTTATCCCTGCAGTGCTCACTTACTTGGACAAAGACATACTTGTGAACCATTACTTGAGGCCAGTTGGGGTACCGTCTAAATGGTCACCATAGGCACCATGAAGCACTTTCTGAGGTAAGTGTTAACCATATCCCAGATAAACCCTTTAAAATGAAGACATTTCCTTCCCAATTAGGATAGTATTTCTGTTGACCATTTACAATGCTGGAACCAAGTCTCTTAGGAGAATGCTAACCAAAAACAACACTGATTTTAGCTGAGAGGAATTTGATCATGAGGACAGTCACTTCTGCTCATTCGCCTTGCATCTGAGTACTAAAAGAGCATTTAGAGGTGGTAGATGCTCGGGGATCAGAGAGTCCTCATGAACCAGGAGCAGGAGTACTTGGACAGGCTTGGTGAAGCTGGCTCTAGACAATAATATATTGCTGGCCCCTGGGCTGAGGGTTTTTGGAATCAGTAACCAAGGATCAGTTTAATTTGTATAAAATCATTTTCCGAAAGTAAGCAATTTAAAATATCCCCAAGTTTAGATTTTTGTTGACTTCATATTGGTACTGTCAAATGTGCCTTTTGGGGAAGAACAAAACAAAAGCCACACGTTAGTGTGTTTGGGTGGTCATATGTGGTTTGAAAGCCATTTGGTTGATCCTATAGTTATAGCTGTTCTCAAGGATGCTGGATGTTACCCATAGTTCTATTAACAAAATCCCTAGTAAATTATATCAGGTTAAATATTTAAAATTAAATTTAAATTTAATTAAATATGTTAAAATCGGGACCTGAAAATGAGAAAAGAAGACACTTTCCAGAATACTTGTACAGGATATGCCCACCTGTTTATCTTAGTGGATAATATTTGAAAAAATGTTAGTATCTGAAAGATTTCTAGACTGTTTGCCAGCAAAATATTTGACCTCATTTGCTTGGGTTGCTATGGTAATTAACCCATATGTTTACACACTCCTGAAAAATTGGCATTTGGGAATCCCTTTTGACTGTAAACGTGGTGTCTTTCAGCTGTAGAATCATGTTAACAAGAAGCCTCAGTGTCAGACACCACTTATAAGCCACACGTGCCTTTTGTTAAAAAAGAAGCATGCGCCACACCTTTTATGACTGAATATCTTCTTCAGTGCCTTACTTATTTGAGGAAAATATAAGCAATCTCAAAACCAGTCTTTGTAGGGTAAAACAGTAGTTTTTGTTTCTGTTTATTTTGTTGTTGTTGTTAAATTATATAGGTGCAGCATTGTGTTTGTTAGCCACCATATAATTTTTTAATTTGTTTTAATTATTTAAAACTGGCACAGTGAAAATATACCACTGTAATTTCACACAAAAATAGTGGAATTCCACCAAGAATATTGGAACCGTGCCGGTGGAACCCATTTTTCTATAATTTGGTGCTCATATGGTATAACTATTACTCGACATTGTGTGAACCAGAAGTTTGTAAAATAAAGTAAACATCCAGGAAAAATTGAAGGAATTTCGTTGACCATTTGCTTTGAAGTAATAAGGGGAAACGTAATCATTACCACTCCTAAGCTGGTGAGTGCTTTTGGCTTTAGTTGTTTTTATTAAATTATAATGTTTATATTCACACATTACTGCCTGTGGAATATGGAAGAATAAAGGGGCAAGAAGTAATGATTCTGTACTATCAACACAGTTCATTTAGATTGCCTTTTATTCCTTGGAGTCCTTTCCCACAGATGTTGGACAGTCTTGGCAATCTTTTCATTTGACACAGAGAAGATTATGTAAACACAGTCTGACTAAAGCAGGTGCTAATTCCTGAGTTCAGCAAATATATTAAGCACAATAAGGAGTTGACTTTCACTGAGAAGAAATCAACATTCTTTATAAGCCCAAAGAGTGATTCGTCTGCCAATTTCTGAATTGCTGTAGAATGAAATGCATCAGAAGAAAGGAGGTTACTCTTAAAGAGATGTGTGTGTGCGTGTGTGTGTGTGAGTGTGTGTGCACATGCATGTGTGTGTGTGTGTTTGCATGCTTGATCACACACTTGGCTGCAGTGCACATGGTGGCACATGGCCTCACAGACAATGGAGCTGCCAGACTCATGCTCTGTGTATGTGGGACTCTGGGTATTCAAACCCACGACTGCGTGCTTGCAAGGAAGCACTCAAAGTCTCTCCACTCAGTTGCCTCTGGGCCAAGGGTGGGTCTATTTAGCCCACAGGTATGACACATGGCAGCCACACTCTGCTCTGTGTCACTCACTTATATGGGTAGTACACCCAGCTGAAGGTTGTGTTTCCGATGGAGAGTAGATCCACACTATTGGATAATAACCAGTCAGCCAATGGGATTTTACCCATGCTGTGTATTAGAAGACACCAAAAAGGGACGGAATGGATAAGAATGTGGGTCTCTATAATCTAAAAAGGAGAGGACCTTTATGAGTTCCAAATAAAACTGAGGAGTGGGGCTTATTTTTTCATTTTCACTCCTGAATGCATGCATGTAATAAGTCATGTACTGAAGACCATCTTCCTTACCAGGGTTTAATGATTGAGACTGTATTCTGAGAGGCATTAGGGCATCATTAACTCCAGGACTTCCTAACACAGGAATCTTTTTAATCACCCCATCTAAATGCATGCTTCCTACTATCCAGGCCTGGGGGCCAGAGATGTAGTACAGCAGGTAAGGCACATGCTTTGCATGCAACTGATCCAGGTTCAATTTCCAGCATCCCCTGAGCCTGCCAGAAGTGATCCCTGAGTACAAAGGCAGGAGTAAACTCTGAACACCATTGGGTGTGACAATCCCTCTCCTCTGCCAAAAAAAAAACCCAACTATTCCAACCCAGGGAGAACTATTTTCTTGGTCATGGATGTCACCACTCAGCCTATTTCCTCAGGCAGAAGAAAGGAAAGGAATGTTCCTGCCTTGCGCAAAACCCCCTTGGAAAAAAGTTCAAGCAGTACACAGCCAACTTGTATCCAAGTCCTGACTGCAAAGTAATGATCAGAAGCGGGTGGTGGGGGAAGCACTTTATCAGATAAGCCAGAAATAAAAGCGTCCAGTCTATAAAGATGACCTGTAAATTGGCATTTGTAATTGATTCACCCTTGATTTGATGCCCGAGTCCACAGACTTACTAAGCATTGGCTAATAATTCTTGTGTGACCTCACATTTCAGTGTCCACTTTCTCTTCCTAACAACCAGATTCAGTAAGGATGAGCATCCCCATTTATGGGGGAGACGAAGCTCCTCAGCTCCCCAAGGGCACGACTGCCCTCAAAGCTGCTCTGCTTCCCACGGTGCCTGGCCCCATGTCCCTGTATGATGCTGTAGGTGCTGAAGAGCTCCCTGAGGTGTCCCCACTGCAGTGCCCATGGTGGCACATGGACTCAGAGCAAGGAATGTGATGGGGACATGGCACAGGCATGAAGTGACAGGGCCAGTTGAGGGGTGAGGGGTGGAAGCTCAGGCCTGTCCAAACGTGCTGACTACGGGCCCATTAAGGGTGACTAGGAGATAAATTGGAGGGGTAAAGCTGGGGGCCATTCTTGGACCCCAGAATGAGCCTTATGGGAAAGGGAGAGACAGATGGCACCGGTTTTTCCTTGTGACACCTGTCTAGTCTTCCCTGAAAGCCAGAAGTCTCCTCTGTGCCCTTCTCCTTACCCGAGAGAGGGTCAAGATCTGGGGCATAGAAGCATGTTCCATGTCACGCAGGCTGAGTGGCCAGTGAGATCAGACTCGACGTCCAGCTCCCAGACCCATTCCTGTGTGACCAGCATTTCACCCGCTGCTGGGGAAGGGGAAGGCATGCTGGGTCCTGAGTTGTTCCAGAACTGAATGACATCACTTGAGATAGCTGAAATAGAGATGCTCAAGGCCGGGAAGGGTTCGTGTGTGTATATGCTGTGACTCCAGACACTTCTCTTCTTAGACATGGGCACTGCCTGCCACTGTCCTTGTTCTCAGGACACATGCTCACATACATCACGTATCTCTATAGACACATAGAGGCACATAGACCCACATCCGTTTTCTAAGCCCTTCTGTGTGCTAAAGCAAACAGATCATCCCTATCACCCGGGTGGCCACACTGAGTCCCAAGGTTCTCTGGAAGGGTTCATGGAGGTTACTTGGCCTCCACCCTCAGATGCCCTCAGAGATGCCCAGAGTCCCATCTAGGCAACTGGCTCCCCTGCTGTTAACACCCCTTAGCTCTTCAAGCCTGGATGTTGGGGCTCTGCTCCCCTCAGGAGCCCCCGCTCTGACATTGTGTGACAGGGTCCAGCAAAGTTGTGATTTTCACTTCACTTGCTTCCTGTGTTTTCCACGTGGGTTCTGGACTGACCCCTGGACTCTGAGCAGGACCATTATGGAGAGCGGCTCCCTGGTGAGGAGACACGAGAGCTGGCATGGCAGTGAAACCCCTCAGGAAGGGTCAGAAACCATCAGAACCCCTCAGAAACCGTCTCCGGCCGGTTTCCTTCATGGGACCATCTGCTCACTCTTCTTCTTCACTGGCTATTCTCCTTGCTAGACTCTGGGTTCCTCATGCACCCAAAGGGCAGGAGATTGATGGTGAAATGAAGTTCTTGGTCCATATGAAGTTCTTGGTCCATATTGACTTCTCTCCTCTACCAGAACCCTCGTTTTCTTCTGTAACTCATAACTATCTCGTCAGTCTTGCTCTTGGTTCACATCACATCTCTTTCCTTTCATTCTCCATCTTTAATTCAACAAAAATCAATTTACTCATAATGAGAATATCATCTAACCTGGTAATTTTCGCATTAAAAAACATAGTGAATATATACTAGCAATGGTCCATACCATATGCCCTATAGATGCCGTAGATTTTTGAAGCCTCTGTTAGGTAATACTTTCCTTTATTTATACCGTCATCTAATTTTTAATTTTGTAAGAAATATTTTTATTCATCAATGCTATTTTATGTGTGATTATATTGGAATACATTTAAAATGTCTAAGTATTATGTCTTTACTGCTTATCTTTATAAATCAAAAAAGTATTATTTATGTAGAAAAATAGAAAACAATATGGCTTTAAAAGTTAAGTCTTATTAAATGTGTAAAGTATCAATTTCTGTTCGCTTTGC